ATCGTTGCACGTCACCAACGCCAATCCGTTGCCGACGCGTTGGCGCTGTCGGGTGATCTTTACGTATCGAGGAAAAAAAATCTAAGCACCCTTGACATCTCTAAAACAAGTTTTCTCCGATAGTTATAGAGTGCGAGTACAACACACGGGCCCCGATGTCGACTCCCGAAACGGGCCGAGTGACGGCGCGCAGCCATCGCCAACTGTTCCGTGAGCTGACCGTGCGGAGCGGAGAGTTCGACCTGAGGCCCACGGCGGCCGCCTGGTGGCTCAAGGACGTCACCTTGCTCGTCCTCGCGGCAAGCTCTGCACTCACCTGGGAGGGCCATCGAGACGAAGAGCTGGTCGCCGGCGCCATGGACGTGGGCTTTCGTTGCGTCGCGAGCCTCGTCTCGACCGTGCTGCTCGCCAGTCTCGTGTGCCCGAGACCGGGACTGTTCAGGCAGTGCTTCTGGGCGCACGCGGTGTGCCTTCCCGGCGACCTCTCGCTGTCCGCGACGTTCGTCTTCATCAAGGCGGAGGGAATGTTCAACTCGGACTACACGGGACCGGAACACCGATCGACTTCCGGAAGCAGTCCTGGTAAGGCCGTCTTCGGGTCTTACGTCACAGGTACTAGGACAGAGGATGCCGACAGACACGATGACATAGCTCGTCTTCACGAAAGTCGAAGCACAGCGGCAGTGAAGGAGAACTTGTCGTCACTTAGTCAACAAAACTATGGTCATCTGGCGACAGTGGACGTCGAGCTACATGTGTCATCCCGGCGACCGAACGAAAGCGACGTACACAACGCTGTGCCCACGAAACAACGCGTTCTCGAAACAAGAGCAGTCGACGTAGGCACGCAGTGCAACTCGAGTTCAAACGTTGCCGCTGTGTCACGGGACTCGCTGAAAGGCGACGAACTGGCCGAGAAAAATAGGTTGCGGAAAGCGGCCACCGCGAGGCATCAGCTCGCGGTGTTCACGTTGGCCGACCACATCATCTGCCTCTTCGCTAGATCGTACCTCTTGATGCGCATGCGCGCCTGTCTGACCTCGCTGGCGAGTGGCGAAGTCGATGAGTTGAGTGCAGATGGCACGTCACTACAAAATTCGTCGCGCGAGCATGCATTGTCCCGCAGTGTCGTGAACACGGGATACGAAGGATATTTGTGATTTGCTGTATGTTAACATATTTTACAATAACTTCTGCAAAAGCCACTGGCTACTTTCGATTGATGTTTGATTTTTGCTAGATTACACATAATATATAGAGCTGAAAATGAAAGTTTCTTGTCATGCGACCTTTCCATCGTATTTTTTTTTTCAAATAATATATTCAATTGTAATTTGGTAACCCAAAAGCTCGAAACCATCATGTTGACTGAAACTTTTAACACAAACGCAGTGGTGCCTCTGTTTTTGAAACGATTGCATAGGTGTGGACGTTAGCGGTAAGCCCTTATTTAATCTAACGATGTCTCGAGAGGGGACCTTTGTCGGGGTTAATCAGAAAGTGGAAATTTAAGTTCTGAAGAACTGAGGTGAAGTAGACATGTCCTATAGTAAACGACATGAATACGCGTGCGGCGGTGATCTGTCGGCAGCGTGATATCGATGACATGATTGACGACCATAGTTTATAGAATCAGGTACATGTTCTATGCAGAAACATTGATGACAACAGTGGCGCAAACGTGTACATTTTTTTATTAATAATCATGCACTGACACAAACACGGGGATGGTGGATCACCTACAGACTGGCATAACCATATTATGCCAACGTACCAGTTGATTCCAGTTAATACCAGTCGAAAGCAGTTTGATTCCGAGTTACACATTTTTACCTGGGGGTACAAGCGGGTACGAGCGGGAACGTCTCAAGTCCAAAAAAAAGGGAAAAAAATAAAGTACTCTAGTTTACTCAGACATAAAAATACGCAGATACGTCGACATTTATTTGCTTTTTCTAAAAAAATTGTTCAGCAGTGAGACATGGCGGCATTATAGCATGCTTCAAGACTAAAGGCCTAGGCTTCCGGTTTACCACCGAGGTTCCAAAAGGTAATAAATTGCAGTTTCTAGGCCTTCACCTATATTTTTTTTCGGAGACAAGCATGTTTGCTGGCAATATCATCCCCAATCCGTGAAACCTGTTCCAGGTTACTCGTCCGGTGGGGGGGGGGGGGGGGGGGGGGGGTGGGGGTTATGTTGTAAGAAGGAAAAGAAAAGTGAGCCCCGTAACTGTCTGCTTCAGGGAGAGACACTTCAACAGTAGCTCACAAGGGATGGGGGTGAGGAGGGATCAAAAGGGTAGGAATAATGTGTAGAGAAAAAGAGATGAGGTAAGCATGAGAGCGACGACATATCGAGGGGATAGCAGAGATAGGAAAGATGGAAACACGGTCGCAGGAGTCCGAGGACGGGGCACCACTTGCGAGAGCTCTTGTCGGCGTCAGGAGATGTCTAAGAGCAAGTCCAGTCGGTCAGAGCTACACTGTCGTCGGAGGTCGGCGTCAGGAGATGACGTAGTGCGAGCCCAGTCGGCCAGAGCTATACGCTGACGTCGGATATCGCGAGCGCTCAACCGGTCGGCATGGAATCCAGCGAGCGAGTCAGGTTACTCGTCCGGTAATGCCAAGCTTGTCAAACGAGGAATCGTACTGGCATGCTTTCATTCCGCCCGTGATAAAAGCGAAGTTAGGACGCTTATTAGTTGCTGAATGCTCTTCATGTTTAATTGTATTGGTGTGTGAAAGGCCCTTGATTGATTTATATGTGGGGTTTAACGTCCCAAAACCACCATTTGATTATGAGAGACGCCGTAGTGGAGGGCTCCGGAAATTTCGACCACCTGGGGTTCTTTAACGTGCACCCAAATTTGAGCACACGGGCCTACAACAATTCCGCCTCCATAGGAAATGCAGCCGCCGCAGCCGGGATTCGAACCCGCGACCTGCGTGTCAGCAGCCGAGTACCTTAGCCACTAGACCACTGTGGCGGGGCGTGTGAAAGGCCCTTGCGGATGGTAAAACAAAAGTGAAAAACGTGCACTTCTTTCTTCAGGATGCACTGAAGAAAATAAGCGTGCGGCAGTAATCCCTTACATTCATATAGTTGGTGCACAAACTAAAAAAAAAATGTGGGATGGTGTGGTCTGGTGCGCGTTGCTTTCATTGCACCCAATACATTGGGCCGTATATGTGCCATGGTGCATAGTAGGGCACAGGGCATGTATAAACACAGTCAATGTCTCCAGAAACAGACTAACGGTTTCTAAATTTACACAACAGGAGGGGTATGTAACATACTCCTGTCTTGTCATCGCATGTTCACCAGCCAAACTGCCTGGCCGATGTTTGAATGTACATGCCTCATAGCTAGAACATAAAAACGTCTTCCCATTTAGCGTCGCATTGCGATTCCTGCAAAAGCCAACCGAACAAGTTTTTTCCGGCATCATCTTCAAGCTGCGCGCGAAATAAGCATATCTTATTTCAAGGAATGTATAGGTCAGTGTATCAGCCATATTCATTATCAGTTACTACATGACTGTGAGTTTAATTATTCATAGACGATTAATATTTGAAATTCTCAACGTCACATTCTTGGCCAACCCCCAGAGTGGGTATACGTGCCATATATATGGTAGGAAAAACAAACAAACAAACAGGTACGTCGATTAAACACGCTTCGCATGCTGCTCGTACTGTCGTCGTTATCTTTTTGACATGTGCACGTTAATGTAAAAATGTGTCTTTCGAACGTGAAAATTAACCAGTGCGTGCATAAGTCAGCGAACTCACTCGAGTCGACTCAGGTTCATATCAAGGCATGAGTCTGCATGAGTCCGGGTGAGTAATATTTTGGCGAGTCTGTGCTCGAGTGAGTCCAGTTGAAGAAATGTTTCGTGAGTGTGAGTCCGAGTAAGTTCAGCCGAGAAAAATCTTTGCGAGTCTCAGTCCACGTGAATCCAAAGAGCAGGGTATATTTCTTGAGTGAGTATGAGTGAGTTACACTTTATTTTGCTGACCTACGGTCATATCTACTCATCTCCAGCATTACAGTCAATCTCGCCTGTATAAACGTTCATACTGAAGTCTATACACATATTTCAAAGCAGATTTGCTCGTACACCATTTAAGTATTCATTGATCAGAGGCACGAATTAGGCAAGGTGGTGCCTTCGTCCACCCTGTCAACTCTTCCTCGGAAGTTCTTGATTAAATATATCTTTTCCAGGGCATAGGCACCTTGGTCGAGCAAGCTAAGCTTACGGACTCGTAAGTCCACTCACTCGGACTCAGTCAGACTCAGATCGAGTAGTGAGCGTGAGTCTGGGTGTATTTTGATGAGTTTGAGGCCGAGTGAGTTCCGTTGACGAACATTTTCGTGAGATGTGAGTCCGAGTGAGGCTGGCTCAAGAAAACGTTGGTGAGACTGAGTTCGAGTCAGTTCAAAGCAACAAATGTATTTCATGAGTGAGTTTGAGTGAGCTCCACAGATGTCGTCGGCGGCACTCCCGAGCACGCTCAGGAGCAGTTGAAGACGAGGCCTCCGCGACTGGCGCGCCGGCAATAAGGAATCATTGTGGTTTCGATTACAAGATGTTAACTGCTCTGCGAAAGTACTGTTTCGTCGAATATACTCAGAGTTGCATCCATTTTTAAATACGTAGTTCAGGCCCGGATACAAATTTACCTATCTAATATCACTTTTGCCGCAATAACCAAGCAGAGCGATGGCCTTGAGATATGTGTCACATTTTGTTAAGGTCACCGCAATGCAATAACGTTAGTTTCGTTTTCCACATTTGAATAAAAATTTGTCGACTATAAAATTAATGTTGAAAATTTTGCACTGAAAAATGTTTTTATAGCAATAAACATGTTTGTGGGAAGTATTTATTACTTTAAATGTTATTGCTCAAATTTGTTTCAGCAGCTTCGTCGCTATCGCTATCCGACGCACGGCGTTTTGTTTACTTTTATTAGACGCTGCAGTTTTTGTTGACGTTTAGTGCTGCGGCGTGTAATATGTGACAGCTGGGCCACAAACTCGTCTACAATGAAGGAGCTTGATCGCGTCGGTTGCTGACTGTCTCCGTCGATTCGACGCGGCTCGGGCCATATTGCTAGACTCGTTTAAAGGTCTAGCAAGTACCCCGTATCGGCTCCATCGAGAGCGAAACGCGCGATATGACGGAAGTGGAACGCCCCTCCTTCATTCCTCCTCGGAAAAGAAACGGCAACAAGTCTTCGCCGCGATCGGTGAGCACGAAGCAGCAGAACAACGGAATATGCTCAGATCACCGAACGGTGCCGGCGGCCAGGCCATGCAGCGCCGCTACGAGCCCCGTCAAGACCCCCGACAGCGATCGCAGCTGCGGGCCAGCAGGCTCGCGGCCTCACCGCAAGCTGTCAGTCGAGTTCCAGCTCGATCCGGAAGAGCGGGACCCGGACCAGTGGACCACGGACAGGTCTCAGGCAACGGACAACGTTAGCACGGACGGAGAACTGTCCAGCGTCACCGAGCGGTCTTCGCTGAGGGCCGACGGGGACCGCTACGTGACTATGACGGGAACCATCAAACGGGGCAAGAAGAAAGGCGCCACGATCGACATGAAGGTGAACATTTCTCGGGAAGAGCTGGACGAGATCGAGAGCAGCATCAAGGATCAGAAGACCAGCGACGAGGAGGACGACTGTTTCTTCGGCATGAGCAGAGGCCCGCACGTGCTGTTCCTCTCCTTCGTGCTGATGCCTGTTGTGTTCGTCATCTCGGCCGGCAATTCCTTCTACTTGGGCACCATGACGTGGTACAACATCCTCGTGGTTCTCAGCGAGAAGCGCTCCATATTCCACAAGGTGCTGCTCAGCCCATTCTGGATCATCTTCTACCCATTCCTCATCGTGCCGGCCGTGATCGGGCTCGGCGTGTACGCGGCTGCCGTCCAGATCTCGTGGGAGTACGACAAGTGGAAGCGAGAGGTGCCCGATTGGGAGAAGGGCTTCTACGGCTGGCTCTGCTGTCTCTTACACATGGAAGAATGCAGTCCCTACGACGTCGTCGTGCTCACCGACGTCCAGCGAGCCGACGAAGCGCAGCCGCAGAAGTCCACGGCGGACACACCTGTCTAGGTGGTTGTAGTTCGCCGTTTAGATCCCCGCATACGCCTGCTCGGTGGCGGTGAAAACGTAGCCTCAGAGATTGACTCCGGCAGTGCGCCCTAACCACGATGCCCCAACGGCGCTTTGCCGAAGCTAATCGTGAAGGCCAAGGTGAAAAGCTAGCAGTGCGCACCCAACTCTAGAGGGTCTGCTCTGAAAGTTCCGGCCCTCTTTTTTAATCCTTAGTGAAATGGCTATTGCCATCACTAGCTTTTAATGAGATGCTTGGGTGTAGAAAGGTATCATATTCAGTGCTATTTAGCAGTACATGGCTCATTAATGGCCTCCCGTTAGTAATATCTACCGAATATAGAGTTTCGTACAATTACCTAGAGAGTAAACTGGCACTGCGTTCATTGTACCATCATGGGAATGATGGGAAGTACTGGCTTCAAATTGGAGAGTGTTAGTTAGCAAACTGTCTAGTATTTTTTTTACAGTTAGAGGTCTTGTTCTTCGCATGGAGTGTCACACAACACAGGCACTGCTTGAGTACAAAGCACACAAGCAGTGCCCGTGTTCAAAGGGGCCAAAAACCGCTAGGTCACTTGACTTGCTGCCACATAAGAGCTTTACAGGGTGGGTGTATTGGACAGCGTCATGCACTCACCGCTGCGCATAGACCTGGTGTTCCATGCCAGTGCAGGATATCACGTAGAGTTCACATTGCTTAATAAGCACATCTTGCCAAAATGTGTCCAAATCGAATGTAAATCGATGGAGAAGCTAAGTGGACATACCATCACGCTCCTCTGACTCAATGTCACAAGAACACGAGAGATGCATTTTGCAGGCGGGCCACTTGGACAGATGCACCTGGCATCGTAGCAGACGATACATGTGTTTCTCACTCAAAACAGTATTGTTATTTTTATAAATAGATAATGTGTACAATCGAAGGAGAAACGAGCATGTTTGCTTTCAAGTGTTGTAAAAAAGTAATTCATTACATTGTGATGCCAAATCTGAGATACAATTGTAGAGCAATGTATACTATGGTGATTGAATTTGTCCAGCTTTCACTTCCACTTCATTGTGGTGCAAACTTTTTACAAGTGCCCCGCAGCAGTGATCTAGTGGCTAAGATACTCGGCTGCTGACCAGAAGGTCATGGGATCGAATTTTGGCTGCAGCGGCTGCATTTTGAATGGAGCCAAAAATGCTGTCGGCCCGTCTGCTCAGATTTGGGTGCACGTTAAAGAACCCAGGTGGTCAACATTTCTGGAGTCCTCCACTATGGCGTCTCTCATAATCATATGGCACTTTTGGTATGGTAAACCCCGCATATCAATGAAAACTTTTTACACGTCTTGCGTACGAAAATATGCAACAAGTTTTATTTCACAAAGCTTCTTATCACTTTGTTTTACACTCGGCAAACAAGGGTCACGAGTGTCAAGAACATAATGCATTTAAAGTCTGTACTTCTTATTCCCATAGTGGTACAAGCACCGCTGAAGGAGCTCGCACAAACACTAGTGCCATATTCTCCTCTAGGTATTGTAGTTCGAAACACTATGATACCGATGTTCGGGCATTTGAAGAGAATATAATCTTAGATGCAAGTATACGCACCAGGCAATTTTTACTTTCCTGTATGCTTCCTTACAAGGTGTCGCGTAAGCACAGCAAAGTACTTTTTGCTTCGTTAATTGTGATGTAGTTCAAGGAGAGAAGAGTGCGCATAAACAAACCTATGCATGCATGTAACGTATCCTACGGTACAGTATTTTGCCGTTTCCAGGGCAACTACTTCAACGTGATCTGCGGCTTGCACAGAACCATTTGTTGAATGGCTGCAAGTTTCACGTGAAGCATTCCTGGCTGTTTTTAAAGTCATATCAGTGTGCATTTGTCCCCTCTAGTCATGTGAATGTGAACTCACTGATTTATCCCACTAAACTCTTTATTGTGTGCCATTTGTACTTACAAACCTTGCCTATAAAGCAACAAGGTTTTATTCCATACAATTTTGTTTTTATTCCAGTGCACAGATATGCCAGCATTGATGCATTGTGTACGACTTTTATACATAATTGCCAGTCTTTTTGTACAGGTAGAGTTTTGTGTGCAGGGCCGTGCAATTCTGCAGAATCGTGTACATTTGATTGCAACTGTGATAATGAATTTGCATGCCCTCACAATGATGATGTGCCATGATCGGAATTTTATAAACCATGTAGCAGGAAGGGTCACTTCTTAATTTTTTGCAGGCACAGCATATGCTTCAACATTCTCTCTAATGAGCAAAGGCCAAAAGTACTCGTCTATTTGACATCACGCATCTTTACAGCATCGATATTTATTTCAGGCAGTAAAGTGATGCCACGGTACTTGTAGCCCTTACTGCTCTACTACGAAATGAAATCGCCTTGCTGTGCACTGTGAATGCCATTGTTTAACGAAGAATGACTTTGCACGACCCTCATTGTTTGTAAACTTCCTGGTAAAAGCATACCAGTACTTCTATATGAAACAATACTGTGACTGTTGAGTGTTTTTGATCAACTGTGCCAAATTGCCGTTTCTATTGCTGTGTTTCTTGCACGTGATGTCTCTAGTCGTGTTTTTCAATTTTGTTTCGTAGAGCTCAACTTCAATAGCTTTGTCCCGAGTAGCCATGTCCAAGAAATATAACATCTGAAATGTTATTCACCATGTTCATCACTTTGCTAGAAAATAATTGTATTTGGCAAAAGTGGTGTAGTTTTCCACTATGGCTGCTGCAAAAAAATCAGCACATTCCATCCATCGCCACTGGAACACTATGCTGATTGGGCACTGATATATTCATTCGTTTCATAAACTGTACAGAAAGGAAGAAGCACTTCCTTCGAGTTATAGCGGGCAAGGTGCATCGTCTCCTCAATTCACCATCACTTTCCGAGCTGCTAGCTGCAGCTTCATGTGCCGTGAAAGCACTGTACCATTCTCATGGAAACGGTGCAAACAAATGCAACAGTGCACTGGCCTTGTCATATGCTGTAGGTAATCGGAAGTGTTACAAGTGCATATGCTTTTTCCGTGTTCTCCCTCAATATATTCACTGTTCTGCATTAGCATATCTTGTAGTGGCAGTCAAATGGCAGTTGTATGCTGCTAAAGAGATGTATAACATTAAATTATGGGGTTTTACATCCCCAAACCACGATAAGATTGTGAGGGGTGCCGTAATGGAGGGCTTGAGAAACTTCAAACACCTGGGGTTATTTAACGAGCACCTACATCAAAGTATTCGGGTCTCTGGCATTTTGTCTCTATCAAAACCCGGGCAGGGTTTGATCCGGCCACCTTAGGGCTACCACTTGAGCGCCACAATCGCTAGACCACAATGGCAAGCAAATGTAATGCATAAAATAACTGTCCAAGTAAAGCAAGCTTAGGAAACGGTACTGCAAGTGTGTTGTGGCGAGAGTATAATCTCCGAATAACTGATGCATAAGCTTATCACAGTTGTGCAACTCGTGATTACAAAAATGGTTCTCATACACTAATTGCCATTTCGCAAAAACATTATGGAACATGTATAAATGATTGAGAGACTATCCTTAAAGGGCCAGTCAACAGGCTCAGACTTTTTTTTTACATTCTCCCAACCTCATTCCTTGCGCAGTGACGTCAATTCGGCGATCGGCAACGTTGACTTCATTACTATTTGTTGAGACCTGGTTTAGACCAATCAACACGCTGCGTCACGTCGCCGATCACAGAGTTGATGCCACTGCGCGTGGAAGGAGGTTGGTCTTGCATAGGGAAGATCCCCGAGCTTGTTTGGGGGGTGTAAAAAAAAAAGTTGGAGCCTGTTGACTGGCCCTTTAATGAAATCCAGCTGATAATAAAGCCAAGGGAGGTATAAAAAAAGCTTATTGCATGGTTTTAAGTGTATTGCTGTAATTATGGCATAGATGTGAAGGAAGTAAGGACGTGCCGCTCGTAGTGATCCAACATGCAACCTTTGGATACACTCGTCAGACAAGACTATCAGACATTCTGCGTCTAAGGTCAGTTTCAGAGCAACAGCCCATACATGCTGTTGCAGTGTCTTGCCAAATATCAAATAAAGCTGGAATTTGCACCCTCAAGACTGTCAGTGAAGGATAAGTGCATTGGACTCTAATACAGTGCAAAAGGAAGTGCGGCAAAATTAAGAAGACATGTTTCTTACATATTCTGTATATGCGCAGTTCCGAGCGTTTTCCAAGCAGTATGCAGGTTCATACTTACCATTCCAATGAGTTTATACAGCTGCATGTATATTTCCAGAATGATGTTCTGAATGTTGTGAAGATTTTACGTGGATTAGTGGCAGCAGTGTGTGCAATTTTAACATGTACAGTTGCTCCAAGGTGTGCAGTTGTGCTGAACGTTTACACAATTCTTACACAATTACACAAATTTTGATCTCATATTGGCGTTCATACGCGCAGACGCATTTATGGAACGAGTATTGTATGTGGTGGTGCATATAAATAGCAAGTATTAGAAGTTTGTGCAATCAATAAAAAATAAAATGTTCCTGTTTTTGTACAACCAAATTGTTCAAGTGTTTCAGAAATGATTGCAGAAAGCACAGTCAAGTGACAGTTTCAACTGTCACTCTTTATTAAATCACAAAGCATAATTACATTGTATCAGCAGGCAACAAAAGCACAATTCAAGCACAAAGAAAAGAGAATAATTTCAAACCAATTGTAATCTTAAATTGATCTGGGATGATTTCATTGTTGATCACATTAACAGCACTCAAACTTTCAAAAAGTGAAAGTGATGTATACATAGAGCCCTTCAACACAAGAGGAAAACAAAACAAAAAAGCTTTTCAACAAAGGTATAAGAATTGACCCACCCCACTTTTTGTTAAAAACTCAACCAATAAAGCTCTTAAGGCAATTAAGACATTTTTCATTGCCAATATCGAAGCTCACTTTTGCCAGAACAGATAAAAAGCAGGCTGCAAAGTAGAACACGAGCGACATATCTGTTAGTAGCAACAATATGCAAAGTAAATGAAACAAGCATACAGTGTTAACCACAATCTAATCTATTCTCTTGGCTGCTGCAGAACTGGAATGATGTTCACTGTTGCTGCCGTGGGTAAGGGTACGCTGGATACTGGTGCTGGGCAGGTGGATACTGCGGATATGGCTGGTACTGTTGGGGAGCAGCTGCAAAAAAAAAAGAGGGGGGATGTAACACTCGTTAGAAAGATTAACGTCAGGTTTTTATGTCCAAGAACCGCGATCCGGTTACACTGGCCATGCTACAGTGGTGTGAACCGGTTTCGATCACCTGAGGTTCTAATGTGCTCCTAAATCTTGGTACGTGGGTGTTTTTGCAGCTAAACCGAATTGAAATGCATTCACTGTGGTTGGTTACACAAATCGGTAAAAGTGAAATCCACGTTTCAGAAAGGTGGCAGAAGCTTTGCCCTTTTGCTTTTGTAGGAATTGGGCATTAGAAGTTATTACGTGAAACACAAAGATGAACAGCTATTAATAATAATAAAAAAGAGAAAGCGGAAGTATAGAGCGAGGTCCCAGGGCACAAGCCATTAGGTGGCCTTCCTATCAGTTATAGCGCAAAAAGTTATCTATACACAAAATGATGGTAGGGTAAGAAAAAATAGCAAGAAAGAAATGTGTGTAACACATGATATATCCTTATTATGAATTGCATAAAATTACCCTAGCAGTAAAAAACAAAAAAACAATACACAGAGGGCTTTTTAAGGATGACTAATATTACACAAAGGAATATCACAAAACTAAAAAATCGATCTCTATTACGAGTAACTTCTGGCAGGATGCTTTACAGCACCACTGCAAATCTACAGAGCTATTTTTCTACAGCATCTGCAGTTTACAAATCAGATAATCGCAGAGACCCATACGAAGTCACGAAACATCGAAGAAAATCGCAATGGACTGCAACTCTGCTGTTTTAG